ACCGCTTGCACGACGAATCGATGCTCAGCCCCAGCCGACAATCTTAGAAAAGATCACAAACGCCTTCCGACGTCGCCGTCAGAGTCCATCTAAAGAGTACCCATCATCCAAACCGTCTACTTCTAGCCTGTAATCTCCGTGACAATGTAACTAGACACTATCCTTGGTGGATTCACATTTTAGCTCGCGCTTTTATCAAGCTCCCCAACAAACTTCATCATTCCGGATGTATACTGTAATAGGGATATTTGCTTTTCTAACAACCTATTTTTATTCGAAAGCAACGTATTTTTCATCCCTTTCGTCGGATGTAATCAGAACTTTCGGATGACGTGCGTTGGTCGATGTTCCGAGAGGATGGTTTCTCACCCAACAAGTGAAATACAAACAAATAGGTTTCAAGGACATGTGGCGGTCGGTCTACGCACGATATCCCAGTATCCTTTCTACCTTAGTTACTCCAACCTCTGAACCCCCACAACATGAAGACTGGATTAAGGATGTTTCTCTAAGCTATGAGTAGATTAAAGCCATTTGTGGGGAGAAACTGATGTTGTGTAAGATCAGATTCCTCCTCGGTATCCAACGCAACACGTGAGAAAACCATATCACTAAGTTGCTTTTTGACACACGTGATCAAAGACTGGTTTAATCCCTAGGGTACTAAAACTCAATGCAAGGTTTTCTGGGGCTTAAATTTATGAAAATCCCAAGAGATCAAGTGTAAACTTGTAGACTTCGACAGCGATTGGTGGTTGATGTGTAGTCAACGTGCACCAGCAACCAACGGCTATACACAGGCAACACGTACAAGATTTCGTCTTCCAGGCTGACTGATGAACGACTTCAGTTTCGACAGTGGTATGCCGTTTTTGCGTGTGTCGTAAAATAAGTTAGGACAACAAAATATTGCCTTGACCGGCTGTAAGCGAGTATCTCCAGATGCTGATGTGTTAGGTCACTGGTGTCCCTAACTACTGTGATGTTTTCCTCCGATTAATGCGTTGCCTACGTTTCTGTATCCTCTAGTCGGATCTTAAGTCAGCAAATAAAACCCAGCGTCTGGTACCCGAATTACGTGACCGAGCCACGAGGTTGGTGTTGCTCCGCTGCTGAAAAACTCATTGCAATAGCATTCTTTGGTGGACTAGTGTCGCAACAGTTTCTTTGATTGGAGGAAGGCAGGGTAGGATTCAACAACTTCGGCCCGTCAGCGGTGCTGCTGGGCTTTGCATGGCTACCTAGTTACTTAAATCCAACTGCTAGTTATCTTGATAGCACGATCAGCTTCGGTGCGATACTTGCGACGCCGTTTTACACTGAAGCGCATTCGAGAGTATTTTGTATCAAGAAGGACCTGAACTAAGTGGCGTGGCATCCTCTGTATACTAAAGGCTTCTAGGACGGTGATACATGCAGGGGACAGCCGAAATACCAAGGGTTTCTTAGGTAATCAATCGTGGTGTGTAGTTGAACACAAAAGTGCTGTTAGGCAGCCCTGACGAGCATAAGCTTTTCAACAGCGTTTCGTGATGTCTTATCGGCTGAACCAAACATTCATTTTGTCTTTGAGGGACAGCAACATCCTATTTCTTTTGACCTGGTGGTCTAAGGATCTAAACGAATCAGCGGATTTCAGCAGCACAACCAAGCCTTCATCGAATAGTTGGGGCCATAGTACTTGCGGATATTCATAGCACCACCACTGAGCTCACTCACGATGGTGAGTCTCATGATTCGCCGAATGACAAAGCACGGGATCATTCCTTTGTATCGAGAGGTCAGTCGTCAAGATCGATAGGCAGGTCATAGCTGAATACGAGTCGACCGACATGCTACTATTAGCACCTCCACGTTTGTGAAAACAAAGGTCTGTGTTTGAAAACAGCACGGCTGAAAACTCTTCAGCGACTCAATGAGTGATGTGTCCCATTCAGAAAATGTTGGGCCGTTCAGAACCAAATGGTAATGAGGAACTCGTGAGAATCAGCTGAGACCGTGTATTTCAAGAGAGTAACTATAGCAAAACAAATTGAAAAATAGACAAATATCACATCCAAGCAGGTCGACCAAAATCTAATACAGCCCAGGGAATCCTGTTTCACTTGTGCAGTGATGAGTTAACCGTTCGTACTCTCCGTGGCCTTGACAATAACCATCGCTGAATACTTCATGCTACTTTTTGCCCTTTGCTTTTGTCGATTCTGTGTAGCCTTTAATATAACGTTTGTGAATTCCATAGGTCTCTGAAAGATGCAGTGCAACGACACGTTAGACGCAGCTTGAAAAAACTTATATCGGGGACACATGAAGTGAGATTAACTTTTGTGGACAAAACTCACTGGGATGATAAGTGAGCACCAGTCCATCACAAAACAACCGCGGAGCACACGAACTCAGCCGGAAGCAAAGTCCGGCTCTCGAATTATCAATGACCATGGTTAGACTGTAGGAAAGTGGTGCTCATATCGAGGGGTTTGCGCAGTGGGTTTACTGGAAAGTACAGTTCCAGGGAGTGATCACACCACAAATAATCCCTTTTAGAGGTGGAGTAACCAATCATCATCATCATCATCACCATTGTAAGCTGTAATAGCCGAGTACTTGTCACACGGTGGTCGTAGCTGCCACAGTTTCGTTCACCGATGATTCGGGGAGGTGGAAGGGAACGTTCACGTGTTACGTCTAAGTGGGTTTATTTCCGGCGTCACAAAAGTTAAGTTGACTCTTTATCGTGCATATCCATAGGATGATGCAGAATCAGAACACATGAAGCTCACAGAATCCAAGCCGATATAGTATAGTTCACGTTGTGAACGGGGCGGTCGCTCATAAAGATTTACTAAGATGCCCTATGGACGTTGTAGTTTCCCCGAGCGGCAGTTGGAGGCGCATGTACTCTGAGGAGGCTTGCTCGTCAAGGTCCAGCGGTGTACTTTACCACCGGCCTATCCAGTCTATTCAGGAAATCCGGTAAGAAAGTAAGTTTTCCAGCAGTTGACTGCGGCACTTATCTTTGCACCAGCTTCGGTTTCACTCCCGTTGTCCCCTAATTACCTCGCGCAAGCAATATGATAAGGTAACGGGGCGCGCGAGGTCGTGTGTTTTTATTGTGAACTTTTGAGTAGCTTCAGCTCGTTCGGCACCCTGACCTCTGGCACACTTCAGAGTGGTGGCACCTGCGGGGCAATCTATAGGGCTTCAATGACGAAGGGAGCGATGATGTGAAAATCGTTTGTTAGGCTACTGCTCTTCGCAAAGTTCGATCGCAGTGAGCAGATGTTCGATGCAAACTGCGTCCTTGCACCAGTGTGCGCAGCACAAGCAGTACGGTTTACCAAAAGCATCCTAAATGTCACTAGAACAGAGGATAGTGAACTACCGAAACACAAGTACCTCACATTAGTCCTACACTTTTTGGTCTGCTAGAACAGGATCAAGCTGGTCAGGGAATGAAAGATAAAAAATTCGTGAGCAACTCACCTGTGAGTAGCTTAGAAACAGCAGCCTCATGAGATCCCTGAGCCTGAATGGTAATTGTGTCCCTGTGTTGTGGATCCTCAACACGTCCAGCAGAACAGGCGAGCGTCAATTGCAGTCGTTTCGCGAATGCGTCTGGATCAATTGTGAAGGTTTCCAGGTTCGATACCCGAGTCTGTGTAGCGAGCAGTAAAAAAACGGATATTGCGGAACTGTACAAACAATTCGTTGGAAATGAAGGGCAAAACCGCCAGTATTTCACAGCTCATCTGACTAGGTCACCAGTTTCAACACTGACGAATCAAGTATGAATGGCATCGATCACCATCAGACAAGCCTATTGTTTATAAAAGTAGTTCAGCTGCAATCCCTGTCTAGCAGCCAAGCCACTCGAAAGAGGCAAGAGGTCTATCTATGGGCAACCAGACGCCAATGTAATTGACATCCTATCTATCTTACACAACCCTTAAAAGACCACAATTGTGAGCCAGATAACCAATTCATACACTTTCTTTCTGAGGCGGGGTGTAGCGCTCCAATCTTTTCAATATCTTTACCAAACCCATATGCTGTGGTTTGTGGCGTTATAAACTCCGAGCTCAGATGAAGAGTAATTTAAGCGGATATGTGAAACCTCTTTCCGATAAATGGTCACTTGAGGAGCCAGTCAATAGGTGACCACGTGATATAATTTCCGTGATTAAAGGATGAGCGGCGCTAAGTCCTACGTGAGAGCTATTCACACTGCTGATCAGTCCCTGGTGGTCAAACAATTGTGCTGGAGGTTGGAGATTCGAAACGCTGAGTTTCGTGAGATGTACGCTACTGACGATTGCCAACAAGGATGAAAAAGCTGTACAGTGCTTCCGGGGCTTTCAGTATAGATTGGCTTCATTGACAGGATGGAATCTCTATTGAAACCCCGTATGGTTCGTTACCGTTTGTTTGCTCAACCGTAGCTACTCGTGTGTAGTGTCTACACTGTTTCACCAACACAGCAAAGGTGATTAGCCCGCTCCTCATGTTCGGAGATCCAGTATCGAGTCGTCGATTTAACTCACTCGAGCTTGAGGAGTGCAATTAGTCCAACTGTCAATCACAGACATTGATCTGAACTGAACGAGCAGTTCGACCACCTACACAGTACTTCACGATGAACCTAAAATACATACCATATGACGATCTAACCGCCGTGGCAATGTTCTCCGTCGAAGAAAGGGCACGTTAGATTGTTTAGTACTTGAATTTCAAGGGCAGTTCAGATATAGCACTCTTTCGGTGCCCAACTGCCATGCCACCAGAAGGAAGCACGAGGGCTGGGATACTACCCAAACCTAGAAAGGGGAAATCAATAGGCAGAGGTCCGGTCCGATTCACGAACCTTCCGGAGAGTAAATTCGCACTCTAATCACTGAGCCATCTCGCTTCAAGGGTGCAACACTGTCAAGAAAGGAGAGGAGCAGCTTCTTTCCATTCTTCATGACCACTGTCAGATCTATTACAGGCGGGTGTTTCTTGCGCCATAGCAATGAGGGACCAGCACCTTCAGCGGGGCTAATACGATAAGCGAGTGGCAATTGTTGTAATGTACAGGAAAACAACTGTTGAAAGCGCATCAAGTATACTGGATTGGCCAGGGTGCTTTCGGTCGCCTCAAGGTACATATTTGGGTTGCAGAATTTCATCAACAAAGGATCGAGTTGAACTAAGCTGTAATGAAAGAAATACAGGGGGATGTGAATAAAAAACAGAAGTCGAAATTAAAAGGTTGGGTGACTCACACAAGTGCTCGTATGCATGGCAAAAATGCATGCTATATCTCCCAAATAGCCCCACCTTGTAGAAGAGCCTTCACCTATTAAATCGGTTCAGTGTGAAAGATCAGAATGTATTCATCTGTTATTTTGGACACTGGTGTAGAGATAGCATCATCATCGACAGTATGACATCAACATCGATGATTCACTGCTGTACCAGAGATAACATTGCTAACCATTCTAACTCATTACGTAATCTATCATATTTCATTGGGATCGCAGAATTGTGCAGAATAATGGAACGACCTGGGCCAGGGGATAACGGTCCGAAAGATGTTTCATTGACAGACTGCAGCATCTATGGTATTATTGATATTGTCGCAGCTGATGAGGTATGTTGTGATCCTATTAAAAAGGGTCACAAGCGACTGCTCTGGTCATCTGTTTGAGCGAGCAAGGGTCTTAACTTTTTCACTGCTATGGAGTGGTACAATTCATTCATTCCTTAAACATACCTGCCTCTGGAAAAAAGACAAATACACCTACCTGTCTTCGGTATTTTCGCCCGGCTGAACTGTACTTGTGCTGTGTGGGTTTTCAAAGAAATTTCATACAGTGTTGACTAGGAGGCTTTTCAATAAATTAGGTACTTACATGCAGGCAGAAGTGCATCCTTAATGCTTTTAATCACTCTTTCTCGCAGAGTGATGATATTCCCAGTGCATATGGGCATCAGCCTCAAACAAGCAGCGAACATTCATGTCACCGGTTTTCAGTGGAATGACTTGTACTAATATCCACTTTTCCGAAATCGCACATTATGGTACGCAAAAAGTGCTGCCGAAACGTAATGACTGGGAGGAACCGAGCTTGGGTGGCAGTCTTTTGCTAAACATATAAACAATTTCGGACTGGCCTAACACCGTCTATTTTCGGAAGCTCCAACGTCAACACACGTATACACAAAGGTCCTGAGCTCTTGTCACATGTCACTATGAACTACTGACCGTCGACCTCTCTGGCGAAAGCTGAATAAGCAACGCAGGAAATGTCCTCATCCGACACACCAGGAACCAGTAGCCTGATGAACACCGAGTTGTCCTGTTTTTCAGTTTCACTACAGATCCGTGGTATCTTCAGCTAGAGAACAAGTCAGGAAGAACCCGATGGCATTAGGCGACTGTTTAGCAACAGAGTTAGTAATGATATAAGGTAAAACGCGGTTCCAATCAACAGATAATCGAGTGTGAGTAGGTGTTCTTCAAGTTCTACGGCAAAAGCGGAAGATGGTACTTGCAATGGCCCGTATTACGACACCAATGCACAGTAGCGCCGACTTGGAAAAAGCGAACGAATTAGCTGTTATACTGCCACCTGAAGTTCCATCGAACTGGTGAAGTGTGCAGCTTTCCAAAGAAGAGTATTTTGATCTGGCAACACAGAGACAAACAACCAAGATACAGATAGGGTGAGGTGCTAGGAAAGTACTGATTAATATGAAACCCTATTGTTTGGCGATTTTCCAATCATTGGGTCACTAAGCGTAATACTCAGCTGAGCAAGAATACTGCAGTACACTCTCTTTATGAGAAACATCATTGCAGTAGTAGTCGAACACTGCTAAACACAGTTACGGCCCTACAATAAACGTGTTATGGAAATTCCGAGGAAANTTCACGTGTTACGTCTAAGTGGGTTTATTTCCGGCGTCACAAAAGTTAAGTTGACTCGTTATCGTGCATATCCATAGGATGATGCAGAATCAGAACACATGAAGCTCACAGAATCCAAGCCGATATAGTATAGTTCACGTTGTGAACGGGGCGGTCGCTCATAAAGATTTACTAAGATGCCCTATGGACGTTGTAGTTTCCCCGAGCGGCAGTTGGAGGCGCATGTACTCTGAGGAGGCTTGCTCGTCAAGGTCCAGCGGTGTACTTTACCACCGGCCTATCCAGTCTATTCAGGAAATCCGGTAAGAAAGTAAGTTTTCCAGCAGTTGACTGCGGCACTTATCTTTGCACCAGCTTCGGTTTCACTCCCGTTGTCCCCTAATTACCTCGCGCAAGCAATATGATAAGGTAACGGGGCGCGCGAGGTCGTGTGTTTTTATTGTGAACTTTTGAGTAGCTTCAGCTCGTTCGGCACCCTGACCTCTGGCACACTTCAGAGTGGTGGCACCTGCGGGGCAATCTATAGGGCTTCAATGACGAAGGGAGCGATGATGTGAAAATCGTTTGTTAGGCTACTGCTCTTCGCAAAGTTCGATCGCAGTGAGCAGATGTTCGATGCAAACTGCGTCCTTGCACCAGTGTGCGCAGCACAAGCAGTACGGTTTACCAAAAGCATCCTAAATGTCACTAGAACAGAGGATAGTGAACTACCGAAACACAATTACCTCACATTAGTCCTACACTTTTTGGTCTGCTAGAACAGGATCAAGCTGGTCAGGGAATGAAAGATAAAAAATTCGTGAGCAACTCACCTGTGAGTAGCTTAGAAACAGCAGCCTCATGAGATCCCTGAGCCTGAATGGTAATTGTGTCCCTGTGTTGTGGATCCTCAACACGTCCAGCAGAACAGGCGAGCGTCAATTGCAGTCGTTTCGCGAATGCGTCTGGATCAATTGTGAAGGTTTCCAGGTTCGATACCCGAGTCTGTGTAGCGAGCAGTAAAAAAACGGATATTGCGGAACTGTACAAACAATTCGTTGGAAATGAAGGGCAAAACCGCCAGTATTTCACAGCTCATCTGACTAGGTCACCAGTTTCAACACTGACGAATCAAGTATGAATGGCATCGATCACCATCAGACAAGCCTATTGTTTATAAAAGTAGTTCAGCTGCAATCCCTGTCTAGCAGCCAAGCCACTCGAAAGAGGCAAGAGGTCTATCTATGGGCAACCAGACGCCAATGTAATTGACATCCTATCTATCTTACACAACCCTTAAAAGACCACAATTGTGAGCCAGATAACCAATTCATACACTTTCTTTCTGAGGCGGGGTGTAGCGCTCCAATCTTTTCAATATCTTTACCAAACCCATATGCTGTGGTTTGTGGCGTTATAAACTCCGAGCTCAGATGAAGAGTAATTTAAGCGGATATGTGAAACCTCTTTCCGATAAATGGTCACTTGAGGAGCCAGTCAATAGGTGACCACGTGATATAATTTCCGTGATTAAAGGATGAGCGGCGCTAAGTCCTACGTGAGAGCTATTCACACTGCTGATCAGTCCCTGGTGGTCAAACAATTGTGCTGGAGGTTGGAGATTCGAAACGCTGAGTTTCGTGAGATGTACGCTACTGACGATTGCCAACAAGGATGAAAAAGCTGTACAGTGCTTCCGGGGCTTTCAGTATAGATTGGCTTCATTGACAGGATGGAATCTCTATTGAAACCCCGTATGGTTCGTTACCGTTTGTTTGCTCAACCGTAGCTACTCGTGTGTAGTGTCTACACTGTTTCAACAACACAGCAAAGGTGATTAGCCCGCTCCTCATGTTCGGAGATCCAGTATCGAGTCGTCGATTTAACTCACTCGAGCTTGAGGAGTGCAATTAGTCCAACTGTCAATCACAGACATTGATCTGAACTGAACGAGCAGTTCGACCACCTACACAGTACTTCACGATGAACCTAAAATACATACCATATGACGATCTAACCGCCGTGGCAATGTTCTCCGTCGAAGAAAGGGCACGTTAGATTGTTTAGTACTTGAATTTCAAGGGCAGTTCAGATATAGCACTCTTTCGGTGCCCAACTGCCATGCCACCAGAAGGAAGCACGAGGGCTGGGATACTACCCAAACCTAGAAAGGGGAAATCAATAGGCAGAGGTCCGATTCGAACCACGAACCTTCCGGAGAGTAAATTCGCACTCTAATCACTGAGCCATCTCGCTTCAAGGGTGCAACACTGTCAAGAAAGGAGCTTACCAGCTTCTTTCCATTCTTCATGACCACTGTCAGATCTATTACAGGCGGGTGTTTCTTGCGCCATAGCAATGAGGGACCAGCACCTTCAGCGGGGCTAATACGATAAGCGAGTGGCAATTGTTGTAATGTACAGGAAAACAACTGTTGAAAGCGCATCAAGTATACTGGATTGGCCAGGGTGCTTTCGGTCGCCTCAAGGTACATATTTGGGTTGCAGAATTTCATCAACAAAGGATCGAGTTGAACTAAGCTGTAATGAAAGAAATACAGGGGGATGTGAATAAAAAACAGAAGTCGAAATTAAAAGGTTGGGTGACTCACACAAGTGCTCGTATGCATGGCAAAAATGCATGCTATATCTCCCAAATAGCCCCACCTTGTAGAAGAGCCTTCACCTATTAAATCGGTTCAGTGTGAAAGATCAGAATGTATTCATCTGTTATTTTGGACACTGGTGTAGAGATAGCATCATCATCGACAGTATGACATCAACATCGATGATTCACTGCTGTACCAGAGATAACATTGCTAACCATTCTAACTCATTACGTAATCTATCATATTTCATTGGGATCGCAGAATTGTGCAGAATAATGGAACGACCTGGGCCAGGGGATAACGGTCCGAAAGATGTTTCATTGACAGACTGCAGCATCTATGGTATTATTGATATTGTCGCAGCTGATGAGGTATGTTGTGATCCTATTAAAAAGGGTCACAAGCGACTGCTCTGGTCATCTGTTTGAGCGAGCAAGGGTCTTAACTTTTTCACTGCTATGGAGTGGTACAATTCATTCATTCCTTAAACATACCTGCCTCTGGAAAAACGACAAATACACCTACCTGTCTTCGGTATTTTCGCCCGGCTGAACTGTACTTGTGCTGTGTGGGTTTTCAAAGAAATTTCATACAGTGTTGACTAGGAGGCTTTTCAATAAATTAGGTACTTACATGCAGGCAGAAGTGCATCCTTAATGCTTTTAATCACTCTTTCTCGCAGAGTGATGATATTCCCAGTGCATATGGGCATCAGCCTCAAACAAGCAGCGAACATTCATGTCACCGGTTTTCAGTGGAATGACTTGTACTAATATCCACTTTTCCGAAATCGCACATTATGGTACGCAAAAAGTGCTGCCGAAACGTAATGACTGGGAGGAACCGAGCTTGGGTGGCAGTCTTTTGCTAAACATATAAACAATTTCGGACTGGCCTAACACCGTCTATTTTCGGAAGCTCCAACGTCAACACACGTATACACAAAGGTCCTGAGCTCTTGTCACATGTCACTATGAACTACTGACCGTCGACCTCTCTGGCGAAAGCTGAATAAGCAACGCAGGAAATGTCCTCATCCGACACACCAGGAACCAGTAGCCTGATGAACACCGAGTTGTCCTGTTTTTCAGTTTCACTACAGATCCGTGGTATCTTCAGCTAGAGAACAAGTCAGGAAGAACCCGATGGCATTAGGCGACTGTTTAGCAACAGAGTTAGTAATGATATAAGGTAAAACGCGGTTCCAATCAACAGATAATCGAGTGTGAGTAGGTGTTCTTCAAGTTCTACGGCAAAAGCGGAAGATGGTACTTGCAATGGCCCGTATTACGACACCAATGCACAGTAGCGCCGACTTGGAAAAAGCGAACGAATTAGCTGTTATACTGCCACCTGAAGTTCCATCGAACTGGTGAAGTGTGCAGCTTTCCAAAGAAGAGTATTTTGATCTGGCAACACAGAGACAAACAACCAAGATACAGATAGGGTGAGGTGCTAGGAAAGTACTGATTAATATGAAACCCTATTGTTTGGCGATTTTCCAATCATTGGGTCACTAAGCGTAATACTCAGCTGAGCAAGAATACTGCAGTACACTCTCTTTATGAGAAACATCATTGCAGTAGCAGTCGAACACTGCTAAACACAGTTACGGCCCTACAATAAACGTGTTATGGAAATTCCGAGGAAAAGTTTTGTTACACAAAACTGTTAGAATTCTTCTTCAAGTTGGTCAAACCACTTATAGAATTTCTCTTGTTTGGTGACGGAGCTGGTCCTTTGTACAGACTAACTTCATTTGGGTATTTGCGCCTCCATTACATTGATATTTCTGGCATTAGAGTGGATCGTTCAGCTGTAAAACTCTTTCGGTGCCTAACTGCCATGCCACCCGAAGGTTGCACGGGGGCTGGGATACCGCCAGGTTGCCCAAACCTAGACAGGGAAAGTCGAGAGACAGAGGTCGGATTTGAACCGCGGACCTTGCGGTCAGTAAATCCGCGCTCTAACCACTTGGGCCATCTCTCCCCCCTACATTGGATGACGTGCCCCAAATTTGTTCACGCTTCGTCGCGAAGCAAACCCTGGTCTTTTTGTGACGGACAAATAGTCCCATGAATGAGCCAACCGTAAAAGACTATTATCAAAGTACGATGTGCTGCGCTCCTCATATGACTAACGACCGCTTGCCTTAGCTCGTTTTGTTTGGGTTAACAGGAGAAACAGAATGCGCTGAACAGCGCAAATGAAGCTGTTTCATTCCCAGTTGAGTTTTGATATGTACCGGTAAAGAGCTCCACGCTCTATTACTACAGGCTTTACGGACTGCTACCGCAAGACTGGGTGGGCTCGAACCCTAGCCTCGTGC